ACGGACCCCTACCTGCCCAGGAATTACCATGAGGGTGAGAGTGGAAAAGAGGGGCAAAAGGAGGGCAAGGGGGATTATTAAGTGCAATGGGGGAGGGATTGAATGCTGAGTGTGGGGAGGAACATGAGGGGGAGGAGGAAATGGGCTGGAGTAGGGGGAGGGGGTGGGCATTGAGAACACAAACGTGGTGTCTATGCCATAACCCCCCTGCCGCTTTCCACTTCCCCCCCGGGGGCCATCAGGGCCCATACGGCTCGTGGAATTATTGGTACGACAAGGTTTTGGAGCTGCGGTCCGCGGACATTTCATCATCGGCAGTTGATATAACTTCGCCCCCATGCGACTGGGTAATTCCCTCCGTCCGCAGGCACATAAGCGCCGCCTCTCAGTCCCCCCCTCTCCCCCCCTCTCTCCCCCCCTCTCTCCACTACCGCAGGCAGTCTGGGTGGTAAGGGTTTATGCAAGGCCGCGCTCCAGGGCGCCCTCGGGTTGCCCGTGGACCCCGCCGCCCCCCTCCTGGGCTTCATCGGCCGACTGGACTACCAGAAGGGGCCAGACCTGGTGCTGCAGGCGCTGCCCCGGCTGGTGGCGGCGGGATGCCAGGTGTGTGTGTGTTTGTGTGTGTGGAGGGGGGGATATGTATGTATGTGGGTACATGTATGTGTGTATGTATGTATGTGGGTGGGTATGTGGGGAGAGGGATGAAGACGGGGTTGGGGTGGGGCGCTCGCGATTGGGTCCTCCGACCTGCCCCCGTGTCCCCCTAGGTTCCCCCTAGGGCCCCCCTTCCCCCGCCTCCATCACCATCATCATCATCATCAGTTCATCCTCCGGTCGGCGGTACGGCCGACCCCGGACATCCGGGAACAGGGCCCCCGACGTACAGCGGAGGGGGGAGCTACCAGAGGTGGTTGGTGCGCGAGTAGGAGCGCCCCCGTGCAGCTCCGAAACCCTCAATACGACTGCGATAGGGGCCACGCTAAGGCCACACAAACCGTGTCATTAACCGGGGTGTAACCCGGGGACTTCCCCCCTTCCGGCCCCGGCGGCCTCCGCTCCACCTCCAAAACTCCCCTGCGCTCTGTACGGCAGGTGGTGCTGTTAGGCAGCGGCGCCCCCGACTACGAGGAGGCGTTCCGAGCCGCCGCCGCCGCCTTTCCTGCAAATGTACGAGCGCACGTGGGATTTTCCGTACCGCTATCGCACCGCATCGTGGCGGCCTCCGACATACTCCTGATGCCCTCGCGCTTCGAGCCGTGTGGCCTCAACCAGCTGTACGCCATGCGGTACGGCACCGTACCTGTGGCGCACGGCACGGGTGGTTTGCTGGACACTATCGACGATGTGAAGCCCTTTTGGGGCGAGCCGGCGCGGAAGGAGGAGGAGGATCTGGACGAGCTTTTTGCATCAGGTACGGCAAATGCACGAGCCATTGAGATGATGCGGAACTTTGGCCCCTTCCGCGGGTCCCTTGCCGTTCTCCTTAACTCCGTTGTTGTACATGATGAGCAGCATGTTAGCTGCTCTGTGCGTGTTAGCTGCTCTGTGTATTCCCCACGCCTCCGAGTGGTGCTGCGTGAACGCATACACACACATACACACACATACACACACATACACACACATACACACACATACACACACATACACACACATACACACACATACACACACATACACACACACGTACGGGATTTTTGTTGTTGTTGGCTTTTGTTAAAAGCGGGTGTATGTCTCCGCCCGACACGTCTCACCCCGGTAACCCCCGGGCTCCCCCCCCCTCCCGCCCCCCCCCGCAGGCCTGTCGTGGGGCCGCCGTACAGCCTCCCGCTCCGCAGACGACCCCTCCACCAACAATGCCGAATACTACCAGCCCTTCCAGGTGAGACATGGGGACCAGAGACCGACATACATACATACATATTGTTACTTCTTCTATTGTTACAGAGTGGGAGGCTTCTGGGCCACTTGAATACATTGTTATTTCTACGATGTATCATACCATACAGCTCCATCCACCCACCAATACCACACTGTACTACACCATACGAGCTGCAAATACATACATACATATATACACGCGTGGTGCGCAGTCTGTTTGCATACACACACACGTAGCTGCGTGGCGGTGGCGGAGCGTTCTGGATATTGGGGTGTAGGGAGGGGAGGGGCGCATACTGATATGTGAGCCCGACGGTGGGCTCTGTGGCCGCCCCCGGGGTTACTAACCGCCGTACGCCTGTGGAACCGGGTCCCCTCGGCCCTCCCGTACCGCCACCCCGGCCAGACGGCAGCCCCTGACGCCGTACCCCTTCCCTCCAACACACACACACCCATCTGAGCTTGCGCCGCTTCCACTCCTCCTCCTGGTGATGACCTCCCCAATAACTCCCCCTCACCCTACCCCCTGAAACGCTCCCTCGCTTCCCCTCGGCCCCCCAACCTGCGATAAGGATTACTTCGGCTCGTCCGGTCGGTACGGCCCTGTCGACGAGTACGACGACGATAATGAGTACGGAAGCGAGTACGACGATGACGACAGCGATCTGCCTGCCTGGCGGCGGGGCCTGGGTTTGGGTCGCAGTCGCGATCCGGGCACGGGTTGGACCTTCGCGCCCGCCACGGCGGAGGCTATGTTGGACTCGGTGACGGCGGCGCTGGCGGTGTACGAGCACCACCCCGACAAGTGGCGGCGGATTCAGCTCGCGGGGATGCGGCGTGACTTCAGTTGGGAGCGGGCGGCGCGGCAGTGGGAGGCGGTGCTAGAGGGGGCCCACGTGGCGGCGGCGTACTGCAAGTGAATGTACGGGAATGAAGGGGGTAGGGGTTGGAAAGATGAGTATGTGTGTATGTATGTGTGTATGCGTGTATGTGTGTGCGGCTGTATGTGTGTTGAGGTGTGGTGTGTTGGTGTTGGTAGGGTATTGCTGTACGGCAATGGGGACCCTGAAGGGACGTGGCATGGCGAGTCCACCCCTGGAGCTCTGGGGGGTGGGGGGTGGGGAGGTAAAAGATAGAGCCAAGGGCGCTTAGAGTGACGGTGATGTGGGGGGGGGGTTAGGGGGGCATGAGGAAGGTCTCTCTTATTCCAGATCCTCGTCATGAAACACGGGTGTGTTCGTACGTATGTGTGTATGTAGTATGCATGTATGTATGTTCCTGCGGGTTTTTCCAGGGGTGTTGTGTTTGTGGTGTGGTGTATCTCGTCTGGGGTGCGTGTTTGCAGGTGAAGGGGCGGGTATGAGGTGTTTTGTGTGTGAGGAGGCGGGGAGGAGCAGGACGAGGAGTAGCAGCAGGAGGAGGGGGAGGAGGGGGAGGAGGAGGAGGGCTAAAGTCACCACCAGAGCAATACGGGCGGCCCCCGCGATGTGTTTTTTTTTAACTTCAGCTTCCATACGGTAACAGGCCGAAGTGGATGTATGTACGAGTAACTCCCCCCCCATGCGAGCTCCGTAGTCACCAGCGAAGTGCAATGAGCCCTTTCCAGTAAAAGCTGCCTGTCACGCCAAAACATCTGGAGCGCACGAATTATGTGCCACAACCTGGTCGGAACCATAGAAGCCCCGCACGGCATACGGCACGCCGATCCTGACAGGGAGGAACAGCGACCACGCCAGCAACCTCGGCGCAACTCACCTGAGAGGGCATTGCCAGTCTCAGAGAGAAAAGAGGGCTGCCTTTTCCACGGTGCTGATTCCCGTCACCGCACTTCTGAGTGCCCGCGGCTGCTTCAATCAAGGCAACACTAACAAGCACAATCACTTCAGTTGGAATCCAGTACGACCCGGCAGTGTAGCAGCAGGCTCTAAGCATCTGGAACGGCTCAGCGAGTCATCGCCGTCCCTCAACCTGCTAGACGAGGAACTTGCAGAAGCCGTCTATACACCCAGCAGCGCCTGAATACGACAATTTTAACTCAGGCCCGTCGTCCCCTGCACCAGTACCTCTCCCTCGTTCCTACCCGTCACTCACCACCTCTGAGACCTTATTTTGGCCCAGCAAGCCCACGCCCCCACCCAAGATCAAACTCATCAGCTACAATCACACTGCCACACAAGACGACGAACGCATCTACATAGGTGCAGAGCCTTTTGTCGCCTCCTTCTCTTCAACGGCTGCTGCCACCGGCCCTGTGCTGTGAAAGTGGTGACGGTACTGCAGGACCTGGCCTCGGGAGGTGTGGCGGCAAGACGTGATTGCAAGGGGGGGTACTCTGTGCTCAATAAGCAGTTTGATCCAGTGCAGCACTGGGGTGAGCAGTTCAGTGATCTGCCATATAAGGTCGTTTGGCTGCGGGGATTACTTATAAAATAAGAGCCTTCCTCAAAAGCTCCTGCTTGGTTCAGCTGGCGAAGGGCTGGGATTACATAGGAACACATCGATACCAACAATTAGCGTCCGGCGTTTGCGGTCTACTATAAATTGTATAAAATCATCCAGACCGGTTTTAGTTAGTACTGTACTGCTGATAAGTGCTACCTAAAACTGCTCCTGGTCTTATAGAACCGCTACCTCCTTCCCACCCACCCGCCCACCCCACTCTGACGCACTTGATCGCTGGCGGAGGCTCCGAAGCCCCAACACTGCCTTGCAATGTGCCCCCAAAAAAGGAAAACACATGCGGCGTGGTAAGCGATACTTTCTTTTGATGGCCATGGCCCCCCCGGCTTTTACGGACACACCCGCACTTGTGTGCGGAACTTGTAACTTTAATGCCTAGGGTTAGGTCGCATTTCCTTCGGCCGCTGTTAAGGACGTTAAAGGAACGCACGTATCTACTAATGTATGTACGACACAGGCCCCGAAGCCGTTCGAGTCCATACACATGTACGGCAACTGGGAGCCCCCCGATGCAGCATCCGCAAGTGCCTCTGTCTTCACATAGCATAACCCCCGTCGTACTTGGTATCAAACGTGTCCGTACCTCTTGCCGTACTCCGTCAAACCTGTTTCCTCAGCCTAGAGAGCCGAAATGCTCTAACCTGGTGCCGCACCTCCCAACCCCCTCCGTGGCACAAACACATACCCGCTAACCCCCCTCGGGTGTCAAATCCTTCCCCCAGCCTGAACCCTAGACACCCCCACATCACACCCCCACACCCACACCCATACACATATCACACACACATATATACAAGCACCTACATAGTACATACAGACGCGCACTGGTCACGTCACGCAGTCAGAAGCGTCACGGTCGGCACCGCTCGTCCATCTCCACCTCAGGGGTGGCAGAGGTCAGCGGGGAGCAGTCAGGTAGAACCAGACCTCAACGTCCCGTCTTGCCCTCTTCGACGTACTTCGACGTCAACTCCTCTCCTCCAAGTCCGCCAACCCCCACATCCTCCAACTACCTCAACCAGGGACCACTTCCCCCCCCCCAAACACATGCCGAATCCCTTCCTCGCATCACATGGCGCTCATCACCCCCTCCCAACCCCCTCCTCTCCCCCCCACACACAGCAAAGCTCTTTCAATCCACCGCCATATCCACCCCCACACTCGCACCCATATTCCACAGGCCCCCGGTACCGACCGAGGCCGCACCGCCAACCCCCGACACCGCCATGGCTACTGCCGTCGCCCCCGCCCCCCCCGCGGTCCTCGCCGTTTGCACCCCGCGGATCCCTTCAACCCCCAACCTCAGCGCCGCCATCACCGCCGCCTCCCTCCTCTCCACTCGGGGGTCGAGGGGCCCGCTAGGACCTCCGTGGCGACCCGGGCTGCCGCTGCGGGCGCCCGGGCCCGTGGCGCTGCCCGCCACCGCCCAGGACCGCAGCCAGCGAGCCACCTGGTCCAGCGGGGCGCTATCCACCACATTGGCTCCGAAACCAAGCGTATCACTGCGGGCACACGCTCTGGCAGCCCGGCTCACCGCACTTTCCGCCAGCAGCGCCATCCACTGCTCCTCCCCTCCGCCCGCGGCCCCCACACCTCCGAAACCAGCACCCCCCCCACCAACACCTTCCGTGGCGGCGGTCCGCGCCGCCGCGATCTCGTCCCACGGATCCGCCTCGTACACCGCCTTCCACGCGACCTGCCACTTGCTACCGTGCGCCATCCTCTCCTCCGGGGCCATCAGCGCCATCAGCTCCACCGCCACCACAGCGGCCTCCTTGGCCGCGTCGGCAGCCGCGGCGTCGGCGGCGTCTACATCGTCCGTGGCGGTAGCGGCGGCGGCGGCGGCGGCAGCGGTGTTCTGGGAGCGGGCCGGGGCTGTTGCGACCGCCAGCGCCTCGTCCAGCATCAGTGCGGTATCCCTCGGGCCCTCATCCGGACTGTGACCCAGCCGGGACTGGGGGGTGGGGGTGCGGGGATGTGCGGGGACACACACACATGCAGAAATTGAAGGGGGTCGATTACCCACACACACGGGGTCAACAGCGAGAAGCGAAGGATGTGGGGGGCGCCGTGTGGGGGCGGGGACATCTCTCTCCAAGTTTCTTTTCTTTGTGAGTGATGGAGTCCGGGTAGCTTTCCCGGAGCGATACACATACGGATGTACATACGGATGTACACACGGAAAGGTACGTGGGTCCACATCGCGGCGGTCAGGGAGTCCTGGACGGACAGCCCGGGTTGGCTGCCGCCTCGTTGCCGCTCTCTACCCAGTGCCTCTTCGCCCACACAGTGCACCACATATATATGTACAAACACATACACACACGCACGAGATAGACACACACACACACACACCACTCGTAACGCAAAAACCTCTCCTCCCCCCGTTTGTTGGCTCCTTCCAAGCCATCGCACCCGTTGCGACCCCCCACAGACCGCCCCACCTGCAGGCCCAGCAGTCTGAGCTGCCGTACCACGTACTCTTCCTGGCCCACATCTCCCGCAGCCCGAGCAGCCATACGTGCCAGACTCAGCTGTCGTACCGGCCCGCCTAACCGACACATCACAGGGCCCCCGGATACTGCAGAATCTCCCGCACGCCGACCCCGGGGGGGCTGCTGCTGCTGCTGCTGCCGGTGTTTTGCTGCAGCCGCCTCATTCCCCCCCGCCATTGCGGTCTGCGTGAGCACTACTGCCGCATCCGCCAGAGCACCGTTCTTGAGCAGCTGTACGGCAAGCAGGTTGGAGGCAGCTGGCTGGCGGGACTGCAGGAAGGCGGTGATGCCTGGGAGGGGAGGAGGTCGCGGTGCGAGGAGGAACGACAGGATCAATTGCTGACACGCGACGGGGTCTGGGCGGGGAGGGGCCACGGCAGGCGAAACACCGCAACGGATCAGCTATGTATGTATGTATGTATGTATGTATGTATGTATGTATGTATGTATGTATGTATGATGTGTGAAACAGGGGGGTGTATCTTCGCCCGTGGCAGCTACCCGGCGAAACCCTGCCTTCCCCGGTATTTCGGGGCACCCTCATCCAGTCACCCTAGTCAACTTCTCAGTGGATCGCACCCACCACCAGCATCCAACGGACTCTACCGGACCAACACGGCGGCTCAACTCCATTCCTGGTCGGCTCGCAAGTCAACTTTACCCCAGGTCAACCCCGTCCATCAACTAGGGACACTTTACCTTCCACCATCGGAAGGATTTTCGACCCTGACAGGTCTCAATCCCGGGATCTCCCGGGGGCAATGGTCGCGCGCTACCAGCAGTGCCTAACCCCTGTATGTATGTATGTATGTATATATGTATATGTATATGTATATGTATATGTATATGTATATGTATATGTATATGTATATATGTATATATGTATATATGTATATATGTATATATGTATATATGTATATGTATATGTATATGTATATGTATATGTATATGTATATGTATATATGTATATATGTATATATGTATATATGTATATCTGTATATCTGTATATCTGTATATGTATATGTATATGTATATGTATATGTATATGTATGTATATATGTATGTATGGGGAGGGTGATGACCCCAGTGCCGGGCGAGCAGCTGGCGGAGGCGGGTCAGGTCAGACAACACCCCGGGAGCGACGGGGAGGGAGGGGGGGGAGGTACGGACTCCCGTACAGACCCAACCTGCCGTGGGAGAGCGCTCTGGGCCGCCTCTTTCCCCTCCCTCCCCGCCCAGCCTCCCCTCCCCCCGCCCGCCCCCCCGCCCGCCCCTCACCCGCATGGAACTGTTGCGGCAGATCCAGGAGGTCCGCGGGCCTGCCGTCCTGCAGCAGCCTCTCGAAGACGTAGGTCGCCAGGGCGGTGCCGGCGGGGTCGGCGGGGTCCTCGGGCGGCAGGGTGGCCATGTGCGTGAAGAGGCGGGAGTACTGGGAGGGGTCGGCGGCGGCCAGCGCCTCACACACCTCGAACAGCTGCGGGTAGCAGTGGTGGGCTCGGTACAGGCCC